TTTTAAAAAAAAAAAAAAAAAAAAAAAAAAAACCGACAGAAGCAGGGTCTGGGCTACCTTAATGTCTTCCCCATGGACACCTGTACCAAAATGTTGCCAATTTCTGTTGCAAGGGACAGGTCCTCAGTGGAGGTGCCCTCACCCGGGCTGTGGCCACACTTCCCCACACACATGCACTCAACAGCCCGCCCTGCTCGCCTCCCCTGAGTGGGTGTCCCACGTTCCCTGTCATCCATCCTCTGTGGCTTCTTCTGGACTGAACTGAGGGAACGGCCAGCAGCCCCTGATAACCCATTTAGCAGAATTTCTTCATAATTTCTTTAAGGCCTGGCTCGTAGGTACCCTGGTTTGAGTAACAAAAGGCACCCCTTGAGAAGAGTAAAAATTTAAAAGGCGGCTGAGTGGATCAGTTAGAAGGGCTTTCTCCAGGACAAAGAACTCAGGGAATGGAAGGAGCTGGATGAATTTCCCCTCTGACCTCTGTGCCTGCTGGGGCAAGAGGCCCAGAGGTCCATTTACTTGCTCAACAGAAGGAGAATCTTGAAGGTCCCTGCTTAACACATGCAGGACCCCTGCTACCAAGAACGAGCCCTTGGTGACTCCACAGAGGAGATGGTGGTCTTCTGTCTTCATCTACTCTTCTGAGGTTATTAGGAGCCTGGGCCTGTTTCTCTGTACATCGTTCTCTCTGTGGTTGATTTGTCCCCTTGTCCAGTCATATATTTGGACCATACTCTCTTAAGGATTTGAGTGAAATTTTTGGATAGGAAGGACATTAACTCTGGTATCATTGCTACAAATATTTTTCCTTATGAGGAATTACTGATGTACAGAAGTTTTCAGTTTTTACAAATTCAAATGTAGTAGGCTCTGCTTTCACTGAAAACAGACTTCCCAAACTGTAAATAGAGAAGGGTTCTAACACCCACTGCAGAGATCCGCAGCACATTACCTGCCTCTGTAGACAAACTTCATGGGCTCCACAGCCAGTGCAGTGGCCACGACATCATCTGCATTATGTCTGCGAACTCCAACAACCATCAGCCCGTCCAGCTTGCCCACGATAAAGACCAGGTTATCCTGCAGACAGGGCTGCCGGTCAGGACTCAGCCCACACAACAGGTGCTGGGTGCATGACGCACCGTGGGCAGGCCCACAGGGAAACCAAGGGCCTCAGACAGAGAGTCAGTGCCCACAGGCCAAAAGGCAGCATGCACACAGCCAAACTCAGGGCAGGGGTGGGCCATGTGGGTGAAGAGTGGTAGGGGTTGTGCGCAGGGAGGGAGTCAGCATGAGAAAGGCTCAGAAGTGAGACCAGAGTTGTACAGGACTCTGAACACTACTGGGCGATGGCTGGGTTCCCAAACTCAGCCACAGGGGGGCTCTGGGCTGGCTACACTGCCACAGGAGCTGTCCTGAGCACTGCCGGACTGGCCTCCAGGTGCCCACGGAATGCCAGCAGCACTTGCCTCCCCTGGGTGGTGACAATCAAAAATGTCTTCACAAGTTGCCAAACGTCCCCTGGGAGGGAGGGGGCAAAATCGCCCAGCTGAGAACCACTGGGCCAAGATACTACAAACCAAAGTTTTTATTTTAAAATATTTTAGACATCCAAAATAGTTAAGAATGATCTCATGAATAACATGTACCTGCCAGCCCATATAAAAACCAAAACATCCTTATCTCCCCCAGGGACCATCACACAGGGCCTGTGTGGGTCTGCTGACTGGTCCTACTGAAGTGCTGGATAGCCCTGCACAGATGAGATGACGGGACAGCCAGCACGAGAGCCCACCTGAGACAGGGCATCCTTATCCACGTCCCTACCTTCCCCCCACCTGTCCTGATATGAGAGGACATACTCACAGGCCCGATGAAGCCCAGCAGGCCCGTCCTGGTAAAAGGCCTGTCAGAGACAGGTGCTCCTTCTGCAGTGACCGGGACAGTCTGTACAGAGCAGAGAGGGGCATGGTCAGGCATCAGGCAATCAACCAACTGACCAAAAAGACCCAGAGGGCAGGCAGGAGAGCTTGGTACCACAGACACCGCCTGTGGCGGATGGTTTGGTTGTCACCAGTGTTTCCGTGGACAGGGAAGAGGCTGCTAAGGGGCAGGAGTCTCTGGGCCCCACCTGGCCCTCCTCAGGCCCTCTTCCTTAGACTTTGCAGCTCCATCTGCTGCAGAAGCCTCCTGAGGCAGGACATGAGTGTGCTTTTCATCTCTGTTTTCCTACTGCCTGGCCTCACCAGACTTATCCTGCACAACAGGCATTGCGACAATGTGAGCAGAGCTGAGTGCCAGTTTCCCTGGGGCCACCCTGAGTATCTTCCTGTTGGCTAAAGTCACCAGGCCGCTCCATTTGCCCTTCTCTTATCCAAGGCTGCAGGAAGCAGGCAACCCACGGCTCTCAGCACGTGCCAGCTGCCCTCGTTCTGAGTGAACGGGTGCCAGGGTGTGCAGACTATGTGCTGCAACAGCTCTTTGCAGCCGGTGTGGGAGGGAGACCCTCCCCCTGAGGACTGCTCTCCCCGCAGCGCCCTGCACACCTGGGCCCCATCAGTACTCATGGGACTCAGTTTCAACACAAAGTACAAACCTCAAACATGTTCTTTGTGATTCCAAGCAATCCATAGTATGCTGTACCAGTCGCACTGGAATTGACACATATTTCCCCAACTTCATCGGTTTTACAAAGATAAGGTGTACCTTCCACCTTCACAACGCATACATTAGCTAAAAAGAGGAAAAAAACTTCAAAATCATAAACAAAAAATACATTTAAATAGATTATTCACAAAGATCTACTTGCTATTCTATTTGCAGTAAATGGAAAAAAGACGTTATATACATGCAGTATGTTCTTATAAGGAGTCTTATGACACGGACAGAGCACACTCACCTAGTCATGAGTCTGCATATTTTATACGTGATGCTTTCTACAACCAATGTGAGATGTCTAGAAAGTGCAATGTGCCCTTCATGTGGTGAGCCCAGGCTGACAGAGTGCTTCCTTTCAGACATGCACATCCCACACTCTCTCCTCAAACATCCTCTCAATGCACAAGG